ATTCTCCCATGATTGATCTCTCCAAGGAGTGTATCTACCTGAGGTAAATGTTTAACTCATATGCCTGTCTTTTGTTTGGCTGGAAGCCACCGGTGTGGGTTCAATTCCAGACCTGAAGGGCAGCTAGGGACCATAGTCTCAGTGGTTCCACCAGGCTCTATCGGAGCAGCAAACCTGGTCTCCCCCGCCCCACCACCACCACCACCTTTTTTTTTCCAAATGATTTTGAGTTTTGTTCCACATTGTTCTCCCTCTCTATCCAGGATCTCCTACACAGATTTCCCTCTGAGTGGTTAACAGTGGTAGCGGGGCAGTATCTAGTTCTTCTGGTCTCACAGTCTTATAGGCTGAGGATCGATTATGGATTTACTTGGTTTCTCTTCTTTTTTTCCCCTTCCTCGCTGTGTCTTCTTTGACTTAATAAGAACTGCTGGTATTACGGCTTTAATGTTGAAAGAGTAGGCTAATGGTGAACTTCTTAGTTGAGATCTTTAGGCTGAAACCCATAGATCTCAGAAGCATAAACTCTACAAACAGGTCTCAGAGCTCTTTCCATCTTTTTTCCTTTTTAGTGTGTAACTTCAATGACAATGACAGTCACCATAGGTAATATACAACTATGCCAAGTAATGGTGTTCTCCCTTTGTTAATCATAGTTACCTGAGGAGCCTTTATAAAATACATGTATAAATTTGTATGTATTCTATTTCCTTTCTGACCATTACTGCCCCTTCCAGGGCATGTTGAGAATGACTAGTCTGAATATTTATACAGTAACTTCCTATTTTATACAGAACATAGTTAGTCAGGAGTGTGGGAGTTTGTTAGTGATCCTAATTCTGCAGAATGGAATTAATCCTTTTTAAGCCTTTGTCACTAAATAATTATATCCCTTGCATACTGCCAAAGGAACAGGGAGACCACATCCTCTGACCTCCTCCACAAGAAGAAGACAAAATCACCATCAGTAGCCCAAGGCCTATGCCTGCAAGGCCAAACATGCTACCTCCTTCTAGCTCTTTCACCAACCCTGACACCAACCATTCCTCTCACACCACCCACCTCCTCTCTGCTGGGTTCGATAATTGGCTACATTGGCCACACGGAACTCACAGATTATGGGGTTTATTAGGGAAGCACCAGACTACAATTCAAGTTCAGAAATGCACTCAGTCTCTTGCAGCCGGCTGTCTCACTCAGCAGCCGGCAGTCTCAGTAGCACATCAGTTTCTCAGTAGTGTGTGTCTCTCTCTCAGCAGTGCGTGTCTCTCATGTCTCTCAGGAGCGCATTTCTCTCAGCAGCGCATCTCTCTTAGCTAGCAGCCAGAGAGATTCCTTCTGCCTCTAGGGAGGGCTCCTTTTGAGCCTGGCAGAGTGGCCAAACTAACCAATCCCAACATTAAAATTTTATACACCTGAGAGAGAGAGAACTTCCCAGAAGATTGCTTCATGCCATTCTCATCAGAAATAGTGCAGGAGGATAACTTTAACAATCAGGAGCTACTCAGTTGCTCATGGCAAATTCCACCAGGAGTTTACAAAGACTTAGGCTAGAAAAGCCATACCAGGTAATTTACTGTACTGCACATACTCTTAAATGACACCTGTGGGTCAGATCTCTGGGCCCAACAAGATCCCATGAAGGCCGTCTACATATCATACTTCTTATAATTAAGCTAGATATTCTTTCTCGGTCAGCAATGCTTGTTCTGTATATTGAAATTACCCCCCCCCCTTAAGTAGTTCCTTTAATGACGTTGGTTTTATGCTAAATTCAAAGATGGGGTAACCACTCAAGTCAGCCCCAGGAAATAGGACTTCTCTTACTTCTTTATGAAAGAATTTATCTTTCCGAACCTGTGGGCAGTTTTTTCTCACCTGGATCTGAAATCTAGTGAGAATCTTAACCTTTAACTTCTTAATATTACATGAGACTTTCAGTTATTTTTTATGAAAAATGTATCATGCAGAAAGACTGTGGATCAATAGGCTAAAAGCATAGTGCCTAAGGCATTTGACTGCTAACCAGAAGGCTGGCGGTTCAAACCCACCAGCCACTCCTCGGAAGGAAGGTTGGGCAATCCCACTTCCGTAGTGATACTGCCTCGGAAACCCAAGGAGGGGTCGTTATGAGTCGGGGCTGACTCGACGGCAAATAACAGCAACAACAACATACTTAACCCCAACACCACTACCTTTCTTACTACCCTTCCTCATGGATATTTGCAGGTTGACTCCTCTGTGTCCGTGCAACTGTTGGCATGTCTTGACTGATGTGCCTGCCTTTCTGTTTCTAGGTGGGCCATGCACAGACACAGCTCATGTCTCATTAATCACACCAACCAAAAGATCCTGTGGTACAGGTACGTATATCATTCTTATCTGAACTTTTCACTGAAATTAGTAATGGATTCTAATGTGATCTCCTTGACAGGGCACTTACTATTTAATTTCTTCTGTCAATTATGAAGTTATGTATTATGTGCTTACTATTGGAGTGGAGCATGAGCAGAGATCATGGTGGTGGTCTTGGGGGTCAGGTTTACTGGCTTAATACAAGCAGTTGAAACTGAGAAGGTAGCCATCAAAATTATTTACTTCCTAACATGAACAATATTAGTAAAACAGGAAACGTACAGAAAATGCACATCTTTCCTCAGTTTCTAGCGTGTTGCTAATTTGTCTCAGTCTTGGACCTATTGGGGGATACTTATTTAAATAACGGAGGCTGGAGGGTAAAGATGCAATAATAGAGATAATCAGTTGTTTTAACTTGACTATTAAACTAGTAGTTTTAGAAAATCATTTTCTCTCATTTTTCTAAAAGCCATGGGGTATGCTGAAATCATTCTTTTCAAATGCATAGAGTCCCCAAAACATCTTTGTGTATCTGTGACATTTTTATTAAATGTAAAGTCATGAATCTTTCTAAAGAGCTGTTATAGTGCCCATTTAACTCCCTTAGCATATAGCTTAATTTATTTTCAACAATATTTGCCTTTTCTAATGCTGCCTACTGTTTACAATATCTCAAGGATTATTGGAAGAATCAAAAAAATCATACTGTTTTTCTGAAGGTCACAGTTAAAGTATTTTTCATAACTTAAAAAAAATCCTTTTTTAACTTCACAACAGAAAGAGCACAAACTATGTCCATGTACAAACTTACACTGAATCCTTAGTCCTTTTAGATACTTAGGGTTTTGATGATAAACCTCACACAGGCCAGTCAGCACTGTTTCAGAGTAAAGTCCAGACACTGAACTCTAAGGAACTTCTTTTCCAAATGACCAGGCAGGGCTATGTGAAGTGGTCCTGGCATGCTGTCATCCCTTCTGTGCCCAATACCTACCCTTTACTGGGTAGTTATTGATTGAGAGAAGAGAACTGGGCCCTGGAGTGAGACTGACTACAATGATTGGCCATTGGGAAGTCGGAGAGCCAGTTGCCTACCCACTTTAGCCAGAAGCTTGAAAATGTTCAGAGCTCTTTGATTTCCGATCTAGCATTTTACATGAGCAATGTAGTCTTTCTTCTTTCCTTCCGGTCTTTGCCCTCGGGGCAGAGTTCATTTTGTAGCACACTCATTGTGTTCACGTAGCAGTCAGGGAGTAACCCTGGAGCAGATCAGGACACCCTGAGATGTTTGGGAAAGGGACTTGCATGTTCAGCTTAGGTAGGCACTGTAAGTAGCAGGAACCTCTTCTGAATATCATGTACTTGTGTTCTTCATCTTCCTAAGCAAATCTATTTCCTCCTCTCTGCTTCCATACTGTTTTGTATATCTGAAAATAATAAGGATCATGAGGCTTGCATAGGGCTGAGCAGTGTTTTGTTCTGCTGTGCATAGGGTCACTGCTCTGAGACAACTCGATGGCACCTAACAACAACAAAAATAATAATTAGATTTATTGAGTGCTTACTACATTGCAAAGCACCATACTGTATGCTTTACATACATACTTGCTTAATCTTCAGGATGTCTGCAAGTTACTTACCCTCTTTTACAGAGGAAAAACAAATCTGACATTCAGAAAGTTAAGTATAATTCCTGAGGTAAATTACTAGTAAGTAATGGAGCCAGAATTTGAGTACAGACCTTTCAGATGCTAAAGCTTGTGTTCTTTTCACTGTGTTGCTGTTTATTACATATTATCATAATTGCTTCTACCCCTAATCAGACAGTGGAGAAGCCCATCATTGAATGAAATATGGAGAAAGAGAAGCACAGATTTGGAAACATAGCATATAGTCAAGTAGTTTTTAAAAGATGGGCTCTAATCAAAGAAAAGATTTTGATTATCTTTTTCAAGGGACTAGTGGACCATGCCAACCTCAACCTACATGACCCAGAGAACCCAGAGACCAGAAGAATGAAATGGCATCCAGCTATGACTGTCAGCCACTTGAAAAGGAATCAGTATAGGATATTCTAGATAGTGTGGGAGAAGAATGTGGAACATAACTCAAAATCATAAAAAAAAGATCAGGCTTACTAATCTGATAGAGGCTGGTGAAACCCCCAAGACTGTGGCCCCTAGTCGCCCTTTGGGCCTGGAATTGAACTCACTCCTGGCTTCCAGCCAAAATCAATAGACAGGCCTACAAGGTATGCGTTTACACCAGGTAAGTATGCTCCTTAGAACAATCAACCATGGGAGATCAGAAGGCAACATCTGCACAGGGGGGCGATAGCTTAGAGAGCAGAAATGCATAGGAAAGGACTACACAGGGAAAAGGTAACCACAGGGAAAAAGTGAGAAGAGAACTATTACTTATGGGGATTGCAGTCAATATCATGAGACACAATGTATGTGAATTATTAAATGAAAACGAATTTACTCTCTAAACTTTCAACCAAATCACAATTTTTTTTTTTTTTTTTAAGAAAAAGGCTCTAGAAACAAACCTGGTTTCAGGTCATAGCTTAGCCACTTAGATGTATGTGATTTTAAACAAATAACATCTCAAAATTTTGTTCTTCATTTGTAAAATGAGATGAGAAATCTCATAGATTTGATGTAAAAACAATATGCATTAACCTCACATAGTTGTTGTGTGCCATTGAATCAGTTCTGACTCAGAGACCCTATGTGACAGAGTAGAACTCCTTCATAGGGTTTCTAGCCTTCATAGGATAATCACCAGGTTTTCTCTCCTATAGTGCCACTTGTGGGTTGGAACTACAAAGCTGTTGTTCAGCAGCTGAACACTAACTGTTGCACCACTAGGTGCCCCTCAACAAATGCTTATTAGTTGTTGTTGAGTCTCTGTTGAGTTACACCTTATGTATAACAGACTGAAATATTACCTGGTCCTCTGCCATCTTCACCCTCATTACGATTATTGGTATGTTTGAGTCCATTGTTGCGACTATTGTGTTCATCTGTCTCACTAACGGTTACCTTCATTTTTGCTGACCATACCATGATATCCTTTTCTTTCAATCAGTCCTTCCTGGTGAGGTGTCCAAAGTAAGTGAGTCAAAGTCTTGTCATCCCTGCTTCTAAGGAGTATTCTGGTTGTGTTTTTTTCTGAAACTGATTTGTTCATTCTTCTGACAGTTCATGATATATTCAGTATTCTTTGCCAACTTGACAATTCACATGCATCAATTCTTTCTTCTTCGTTGTCTGTCTTTTGCATGTATATGAGGCAATTGAAAGGACCAAAATTTTGATCTTCATTTGTAAAATGAACTTAGGTCAGGTGCATCTTAGTCATCAAAAACTTCTAAACTTAAAAGAGATTTTTTGCAGCAGGTTTGCCACAGGTGGTACATCACTTGATTTCTTGACTGCTGCTTTCATGAGTGTTGATTGTTGGTCCAAGTAGAATGAAATTGTTGACAACTTCAATTTTTTCCCCATTTATTATTATATTGTTTATTGGTCCAGTTACGAGGATTTTTGTTTTCTTCATGTTCAGGCATAATCCATTTGAAGTCTTTACCTTTTTATATTATAATCACAGCATTAAAGTTTATATTTATACAGTGGGCATCATTAAATTGTGTCAATAAACGTATTAATAAGGATCTTGTAGTTAATTGCCCTCAAGTCAAGTTCACCTTATGGCATTATAGGGTAGAACTACCCCATAGGTTGTCTGCCCCCCCCATAGGTTGTTCTTGCCTGTAATCTTAATGGAAGCAAATCACCAGGCCTGTCTTCTGTGGTTCTGCTGGGTGTGTTTGAACCACCAATCTTTAAGTTATCATTTGAGCACAAACTGCATGACATAGGGATTTTATAAGGATCTTCGTGGGGAGAAAGAATAAATTAGAAATACCGGAACTCATTGCCATACCCAGTTTTGTTTATTATTTTGTACTAGTCACCTCCTCTATTGCATATCAGTATAATAGTAGGAACTGAAGCTAATATTTTTAGGCCTTTGCATGTGAAACCATAAGAGAGGCATTGATGCTTTGTCATGTATTTCTAGACCTTCACTTAGGAGAATATGTATCTCTTTACTAGAAAAAGATTGAGAATTCTTGGCTTGGGAAGAAATTAATTCATGGTGCAGTTCAGGGAGCCTGAAGGAAAACTTGAGATATCTCAGTGTGGCCATTAAAGGTCATCAGGTTCAGCTTGTTAATACTTCTCAAAAAATCTGTTCTGTGCCACCTCAGGCTCTGTGGGCTAGCCATTCAGCCTCAGATTCAAATATTGGCTGACCCTCTGGAACAGAAATTCTTGATTTTAAGAGGTAAATCTATGATTTACTTTTATTTGCTTTGAGAACTATAAGTTCTCTGTCTGTGTCTCCATCTTTCTTTCGGCTTTGGAATCAGCAGGTTGCCTGCTGGAATCAGCAGCTTTGGAATCAGCTTGTTTCTTAGGAATCATCACCAATTATTATTGTTATATCAATGGTGTGTTTCTTACAGATTTTATATCTGGGTTCTTCAGGAGTAGGACTCATGCCTCTAACACATGCTTTGTGGTGCTTCTGACTAAGGGCCTCCGAAACAATAGCTTTCTGGTGGATTTCCCAGAGGCAAGACTTCAAGCATAGGTAATCAGTAAATAATTATCTTACAGTGGTGTCATGGTGTCATTGCTTAAGAGCCTTAGAGTGAGACCCTCTGAATTAGATTTTACCAAGCCCCTCCCAGCCAATCTTACCAGTACAAGTTTGGACCCAAAGAAGTCTTCAATTTAATAATTACATAAATTAGAAAAAGGATAGGTTGGATTGGGTGGTTCTTTAAGCCAGTGATCTGTGAAGAAGGGTACATGGTCTTTGAGGTATGAGGGAAAAATATTAAAAACTCTACCAGTCTTTTAAAATTTCTAATTTGAAGATTCATTTTATAATACATAATATATATTTGTTCATGTAGTTTATAAATAGC